CCAGAGACAGGACCCTGCATACGCCCATGCCCACCTTCCAGAGACAGAACCCTGCATACACCTGTGCCCACCTTCCAGAGACAGAATTCCACATACCCTTGTGTCCACCTTCCAGAGGGCACCTCCCATCTTGCAGTTCATCTGCTGAGCGATCTTGGTGACTACAGTTGTGAGATTCTTTCCGTGATTCAGGGTCGATGCTACCACACATTGGCTGGGGACTGGTTTCTCAACACACAGAAACGTTTTTATCTCCTCGTATCTTTGCTTTCTGTTGTCAGGCAGCACACACACCACCTGGAGAAAGACGGAAGCACCTCCACAGTGCCACAGTCGCACGAAAGGGAAAACCATCTCCAGGTGGAGACCACTCACGTGAGGTTGTGGATAAGTCAACATTGTCTCAAGGCAGGAGGACTATCTAGAATCCCAGCGTGAAGCACACCTCTACCTCTAACTCCACCCCCAACTCCCATGAAGGCATGGGGAAGAAGACGGGGCCAATTTGGTTGTGTGGGTCCATGGCTTTAAAAAAATCATAAAACATTTATTCTGATTATCCAATGTCTAAGAATTCACCATGGCATTATTTTTATTTCAAGGTGGGATGAAGAAACCAGATCATTGCACCAGGTTCCACAAGACCACTCATGTGTGGGGTACTTAACCACACACCTTCATTGTTTCCATTAATTCTTCCAGTGAGCCACTGAGATAGGCACTATTATTTCAGTTACCACTTAGCAAGTGAACTTGGAGGTTGCAGACATCCCATGACTTACAAGGTGTCAAAAGTCTGTTAAGGAAAATGGTTTCTACATGTCCTGTCTATGAATCTTCGGGAAAATCACAGGCATAGTATTTTATTCTTTAAACATACTTGTTTTAATTTATGTGTGTGCTTGCTCATATGTAAATATATTCATATACAACCACTTGTAACTCCAGTTCTAGTTAGCGGCCCTCTTCTGACCTCCATGGGTGACCACACTAACAAAGAAATGCCCCCACACAAACACACACAGGACACATACCATGTCCCCACACAGACACACACACAACACATACCATGCCCCCACACAGACACATACACAACACCAAACGTGCCCCCCCACTGACACACACACGACACACACACGACACACAACGTGCCCCCCACCGACACACACACGACACACAACGTGCCCCCCACAGACACACATCATACATAACATATCCTCCACCGACACACATGACACATAACATACCCCCACAAGACACACATGACACATAGCATACCCACACAGAGACACATGACATATAACATGCCCACACACAGATACACACGACACATAACATGGCCACACACAGACACACATGACACGTAACATGCCCCCACACAGATGCACGACATGTAACATGTCCACAGAGACACACATGACATAACCACACACATGACATACAACATACCCCACACACACATAAGACACATAGTTTAACATGTTTAAATAAAATACACGCAACTGCCACTTTTAGAACAGTCCCTGGATGTGAATCAGCTCCTCACCATTTGAATGTCCCGTGAAATATGTTTCTGCAATGCTTGCCTAAAGGAGCCGGGATCATCATCGACTTGATGCCTGGAAAACAAACATGCCATCCCTGTTTAGAAAGTGAACAGAGAAGCGTTTCAACCATGCAAGAAAGAGAAAGCCAGACACATAAAATGCCAAGCACATTTCAGCACAACTCTTAACAAGGGAGTTGGGGTGGCAGGTCTTCTCCTTGGCTAAAGGTGTTTGGTGACAACCTAGTAGCCAGAATTCAATCCTTGTCCCCCACAAACTAAAGGAGGAAGCCAGCGCCTGTTAGTTGTCTCGCGTGTGTGCCCCGCCCTACCCCCAAATGAAATAACTGGATGAATAAATGTAATAAAAAAATACCGTAAGAAATCAAAATACAAACATCTCAGGATCACCAGCTTGGAAGCTGTAACAATGAAGGGGCTAACATGACTGGTAGACAGGTAGACAGACAGCCTCAGCAGACTCAACAGAGGAATGCTCCCAGCCACACAGGGATGGACACACACTTGACGGCTTAACTGAGGTCCTTGTGAGTTAAAACTCTAGACCCTACACTGGGACGTCTAGAAAATGAGTCAATGCCCTAGTCAGAACTATCAGAGGGGACTCCCTGTGTCTGCAGGGGGTGGGGGCAGGAGGTGCACTCTGAAACACCCAGTCCAGGGCCATCTTGCCTAACTCAGTGTCTCCGCCTGATCCCCCCACCCCGGCTGCACTGTGCTCAGGAGAGGCCAACTCGCCCTGAGGGAAAAGGTGCCCCGGCACTGGCCTGGCTGGTTCAGTCTTTGCAGTGTGTCTGGGTGACAGGCACATCTGCTGCTCTCCAACCACCTGGCTGTTTCACAGCCCTTGCCCATTCACAGAGCTGCTAAATCCCACACCTTCCGTGGCACCTCACATGCACAGACCACAGATCTGTGTTGACAGGTGCTGATTGGAAGACTTGGAAATGCTTCATTTTGAATAGATTTTTTTAAGAGGTTTTATCAAGAGGATGGGTGATTTCTGGGAGTGGTGTGGTGTTAGAGATAAAGGTTGGGGAGACGCTCTGTGAACACAGAGGAAGGGACCGAGAGCCAAGGAACACAGGCAGCCTCCAGAAGCTGACCAGAGGAAAGAGACTCAACTATGTCAACTGCTTCATTTAACGGGGAAAAAGCAAACAAAACAAAACAGAGACAGAAACAAACTCCCTTGGAATGTCTGAACAAGAATAAAATGTGTGTGCAACTTTAGCAACTACATGTGTGACATTTGTCACAGCAGCTACAAACAACAAAAATACATCACCAAACGAGAGACCAGCCAGAATGCTCAGTAGGTGAGGGCCTGGTGACCTAAGCTCTCCAGAACCATGACGTGGAAGGAGAGAACCGACCCCAAAGCAGTCCCCTCTGCTCTTTAGCTGTGTGCTATGGCTTACACATGTGCATTCACCCTTGTATAGCACACACACGACCACACACACACACACAAAATACATAAGGGCAATTAACAAAACTTTTAAAGACTGAAAAACCAAAAACAAAACTCAAGGTCTCCCTATATCCCTAGCTGTCCTGGAACTCACTATGTAGATCAGGTTGGCCTTGAACTTATAGAGATCTGCCTGCCTCTGCTTCCCAAGTTCTGAGAGTAAAGGTGTGGACTACCATGCCTGATACAAAGATGTGTGTGTATGTGTGTGTGTGTATGTGTATGTGCATATGTGTATGTGCGGGGTGTACGTGTGCGTGGTGTACGTGTGCATGGTGTATGTCTGTGCGTGTATGTGCATGCTATGTGTGCACATGTGCGTATGTGTATATGTGCGTGTATGTGTGTGTGTGGTATATGTATATGTGCGTGTATGTGTGTGGCATGTGTGTGTATATGTGTGTATGGCATGTGTGTATATGTGTGTATATGTTGTGTGGCATGTTTTTTTTTTTGTGTGTGTGTGTGTGTGTGTGCACCTGTGTCTGTGTTATAAGGCGAGGCCTGAGGTGCCTACAGAGGTCAGCAGAGGGCATCAGATTCCCTGGAACTGGAGTTCCAGGCAGCAGTGATTCTCTGCGGCGTGGGTGCTAAAAATAGAAGTCTAGTACTCCTAAGAACAGCCAAGTCATCTCTAGCTCCATTCCCCACAACCAACAGAAAGTTCTTTTAATCACCATATGAAATAACAATTGCTTGTCTTTTTCAAACAAAAATCATTTTTTACTGAACCAGTTTTCCATTCTCTTTTGATGGACGCCTTGCTCATCCTGGAGGTAGTGGCCTTGGACCTTCCGCAAAGCAAAGTCCCTTACCCTGACGAGTGGATGGGGGTGGGGTGGGGGAGGGTAAGTGGAGGGACTAGGAGGAAGTAGGAACTGGGATTGGTATGTATAATGAAAAAAGATAGCTTCTTTTTCGAAAAAATAAAAAAAAATTATTTAAAAGTATCTATTATAAGGTTTCTGGGTTGAAAAAATTGAAATAAGCTCCTTTTTTTGTTTAAGAGAACATGATTCCTACAAAGTAATAATTCTTGCAACTTGGCTTTCCAAGGGTCACCAGCTGGTTCAGACCAGGACATACTCAGTCCCTGCTTACCTGGCTGCCAGTGACATTTTTATATTCATTCCTTTAGTGACCGTCTCGAGTGTGCTCACTAGCTGGTTGACCTGGGGGACGCAGCTCCTGGTGTGAAGGATCACCCAGCGGTCTAAGGACTTTGGTCTGTGTAAGGCTATGTTCCTCGAGTCTCCCAGCCAGGTCTGTTGGGGTGGTTTGACAGTGTACTGGAAAGGGATTAGAGACACAGACAACACACTGATGACAGGTTGGCATCACCAGTTCCTTCCTGCACTGTGCCCTTGCCGCTGCCTGCCAATTTGTATGTCCGTCTTTTCTCCTTGTGAAACTGGAAGCCAGGGCTTCTCCGAGCTGCAGGACTCCCCACCTTGGCCTTGTGATCCTCATCTCAAATATGGAGTAAATTTGGTATTTAAGATGCAGGTGAGGGGAAACTGGGCCTCTAAGCACAGTTGGTGAGAGAAGCATATGGTGCTAACCTCCTACGTAGACAAACCGAGGTCTGGTGCAGACTGGCAGGTGAGACCAACCTGCCTCCTGCATCTCTCTACTCTAACTAATCAAAACTATTTCCTCTGCCTAGCTTCCATTCTGACCTGTTACACTTCCGACCAACACTGATGCCCTGGGGCTCTGTGAAACCATCCTGGCCCAGGGAGCAGCCCAAACACAGGAACTTATATTCCCGGCAGCAAATGCCCACAATTCTCTTAGATAAAGATGGAGTTCAGAGCTTGCTTAGGTACTAAGCATGGCAGATGTGTGCTCTTATCAAACATTCGTCCTCTCATTTAATGAAGTCATCTTGAGGGGGTAAAAAGCAACAAGTTGTGGTTTTTAATGTGTTTTGAGGTGAAGGTGCTATGGCTTACCGATCTGGCACCTTGGAAAAGCTTTACTGAGCCCAGAACTCTTCCTGGCACCGAGAGACTCCTATTGTCAAATGTCACACTCCATGGCAGAAACTCATTTTTAAATTCCTGGTCTCTGTAAAACAAATCCCAGTAGTTCCAACCAAGCAAGAAAATAACTTGGGTAGTTTCCCTTGAAGCCAAGGTCTTACTCTACACTGATGCCACAGACAAAACTCTGAGGGCACCGTCTTTTCCTCTTGTGCCTGTGCACTCACTTCTGGGCCACAGTCTCCCCTTGTTGGAAGCTAACACTTGAGTGTCAGGAAGATGGAGCTGTTCAGCCCACAAATGACCACGTCTGTAATCATTGTTTATGTATTGTATATACATACACATATATGAGTGCTCACCTATGTATCTACATGTAGATTCTAGTACAATGGGAGAATCTTCCTCTATAGCTCTCCACTTTATTTTTGAGGCAAGGTCTCCCACTGAGCCTGGACCTCACCCACCTGAGCGAGATTGGCTGGCTGGCAAGCCCCGGGATAGCAGGTAAGTGCCTGGCTGTAAACTTGGGTCCTCACGCTTCCACAGCAGGCAGCTCACCCACCACCAAGCCATCTCTCCAACTGTTTTGAGGCAGAATCTCTTTATGCTAACCAAGCTGGGCACAAGTTTGTAAGTTCCATCTCAGCCTCCAGTATGCTGGAATTTCAGGCCCAAATTTCCACCTCTAGCTTATGATTGTCACCGTTTTAGCAAAAGGATCATAGGTGCTGAAAGGCTACACCCAGGTCTCAACCTGCATACAATGCCACATACATGGCACATGGCACATACAAGGCACGCACGCAGCAACCAAGAAAGGTACTTACGCCTGAATGCTGGTCATGAACCTGTTCAGTGCATTCCTCCGATCCACTGGGCTCATTCTCATTTTGTCAGTCAGCTGCGCCATTAGCCTATGGTTTTCAGATACAGCACGTGCTAGGCCTTTGGAAAATGCAAGAAGATACAGCATACAGGTGAGGGTCAACTGGTCCTAGAGAAGATGCAAGTCTGTATCTAGGGACAGAATAACCAACTCCCCAAAGGATGCGATTCCAGGTCGGAGTACTGGGAAAGCCTGAGTTTCTGCACCTGATGTTTAAAGAAGGGCTAACTTCCACAGATCCATGGAGGTCATACCTGTCAGTTTACACAGCTGAGGGACCAGGAAGATAGGCTCACGAGGTGTAGACATCTGGCCCTTCCTCCACCTGCCCAAGCTCATCAAAAGTGGCTGATCCAGTGAAGATATCTTTTCTTGGTGTCGCTGCTCCATGGAGGTGAGAAAGACAAGTGGTCAACAAAGCTTCAATAACTTCCCAGGAAGAGAAGCATGGGTCACACGAGACACAGAGACACCACACCCACTGTTTCTCTAAAAAATGTGTGGAGAATTTTTCTGTCTACATGAGTGTGGTAAAACCCCAGCCTTTATAATCATCTGTAGCCAAAGGGAAGGGCTCCATAAAACACACCATCAAAACTATGTGTGAAGATAGATGACAGACTCTTGTGTGGTGTCTGATATATGTGTTTGTGGTATATGCATGTATGTGTGAGAGTGTACAAGAGCATGTTTACTTGTATGTGTGCGATGTGTCTGTAGCTGTGGTATATGCATGTGCTAGTGTGTTTGCCTGTGTGTGCTTATATATGTGCAATGTGTCCAAGGTATATCTGTGTTTGTGGTGTATGCATGTGTGTGCATAAATATGAGCTAGTGTGCTTGCCTGTGTGTGTGGTGTGGGAAGTCCTGTATATGTTTGCTTTTATTGGTTAATGAATAAAGAAGCAGGCTTGGCCTGTGATAGGGCAGAGTAGAGCTAGACAGAGAAAACTATACTGAATGCTGGGAGAAAGAAGGCAGAGTCATGAGACGCCATGGAGCCACCAGAGGAGAAAGATGGAAGTTGCCAGCTGGAACCTTGGCAGTAGGCCATGAGCCTCATGGTAAAATATAAAATAATAGAAATGGGTTAATTTAAGAGAGAGCTAGAAATATTCATAAGCTAATAGGCCAAGCAGTGTTGTAGTTAATACAGCTTCTGTGCGGTTGTTTCAGTTCTCGGCAGCTGGAAACAAACAATTGACCTCCTTACAACAGAATAGTGCGCCAACGTGGTCAACCAGATCCATGTAAAACCTGAGAAAGTGTTAAAAGGCCACACAAAAGAAAGCAGAGTTTAACACAGCCTCTTGCTCTGCTTGCTGGCAGCATGACACAGCTCCTTTGAGAGAGGTCTTCCTGATTAAGTGATTAAAAAAAAAATCCACACAGTTTTGAAACGGTGACTTCTTGGGGTATACTGCCATACTAACTCTGACTCTTTCGGGAAGTCTGGCTATGGAGCATTTAAATGGAGTTTGTGAACAGAGTGCTACAACCTTCTTAATGACAACACAGACCTGCTGTGACCCAACCCTAGATCTGGGCAGACAGAATGGCTCTCAGAGGCAATGAACGGATCCCCTCCACCATGTTGGACTGGGCAGAGCCAAAAAGCAAAGAAGTCTTAGTCCTAATAACACTGCTTAACATTTTAAGAAGTGTTCCTGGGCTCCTGGACAAAAAAAAATTCAGACACACAATAGGACAGATTCAGACATAAAAGACCTCTAAATGAGGCACAGTGTGTTTTTAAAAAAATGTACATAGGCTTGGGACAGAGAAGAGTAAAGAGACAAATATAAAAGAGCACAGACAGTCATAGATTAAAGGAGTAAAGATAGTAAAATAAATATTAAACTTGTAGAAAAGGTAATAGAGTAAAAAATAAACCACATAAAGATGGAATATGCACAGAGAATCTGAATTATATATATTGTGTTTTCTTTAGTTTTTTGACTGCAAAGGAGCTAAGTACAGAGAGACAGTTCATTGTATGGGCTGATAAGTTAAACCAATATATATATTTTAAAGGTATCTTTACTCCAGAATTTGGGTCTAAGGATTTGTTGCTTTGGAAAAGAGGTTCTTCTTTTGTTTCCACAGAGGATGAGAACCTACGAACTCCTTCCAAACTAATGTGGTTTGATGGACCAAGGTCCCCTAAAAAGTCTCTGTGAATACCCCCAAAATTGCTTTGCCCAACAAAAAGCAAGAGGCAGTTTGGAGAGAACTATGCCCATATCCCCAAATATTGTTTATAAATGCTTGTTTACATTTAAAGGGTGATATGTTACAGAGATTTGCATTGGTATGGATCTTGGTCTATTGATACAAATTTAAGGTCAATTTTGTTATGTGTATACTTTTTGCTCTTGATTAAGTTATTGTGTTTTGCAGCTCATTTAAAAATGTAATGTATAATTAAGAAATACAGGTTAATAGGTAATCATCTATAATAGTCAAGTTTGAGGTCATGTTAGGTTTTCTAGATATAGAGATATATTTCAGTTAGATTGGTGATCTTCAAACCTTTCAAAAACCTATGGAATATGGCATTTAAACTATTTTAAGAACTTAGGACTTTTTATAACAATGAGACACATCTGCTCCTGGCAGCACCAATTACTTCAAGAGGAAGATGGTATTGAAGAGGCTCCTTATGGAGTTTGTTAGTCATTTGGGCAAGAAACTGCTCTTGCCTGGACTGCTTGATGTTATGCTGTATGGACTGGACTTATAGGACCCACAGAAAGATGATTGCTGAACTTGCCTAAAGAAGGTTAGAATGTCCTTTGGGGTTCCTGCTTCATTAAAGAGTCTGCTAGACATTCTGCAGGACATACAAAAGTGACTTGACAAATTGCCAATATAGGCGGAACTGTCTTTGAAATTTCCTGCTTCATGGAAAAGTCTGCCAGATTCTATGGGCCTGTAGGCTGAAGGTGGGTGCCCCAATGGTACAGAACAACTTTGGGTGACTGTCCAGGTACTGAGATGTCTCTGTCAATTCTAGAGTTTTGGAAGTTGCTTATTATGCACTTCCTGTTTACTTAGGTAATATATCCTCTGGAGTCTTTGATGGATTAAAGAATAGATAGTTACAGTTATAGGTTTTCTTAGTTACAGTTATAGTTTTCCTTAGTTATGATAAAAGATAGATATAAATATTGTAACTGTAATTCTTGCTTGATGCCTGTTTTGTTATATGCAATTTTGCTATGTTAAAGTTAAAGCCTTCCTTTTTGTTTAAACAGAAAAGGGGAAATGGTGTGAAATGTCATTCAGTATATGTGTTGCTTTTATTGGTTAATGAATAAAGAAGGCTTGTCCTGTGATAGGCCAGAGTAGAGCTAGGTGGGAAAACTAAACTGAATTCTGGGAGAAAAAAAAGGTGGAGTTGTGAGACACCATGGAGCTGCCAGAGGAGAAAGATACAAGTCGTCAGTCGGAACCTTGGCAGTAGGCCATGAGCCTCGTGGCAAAATATAAAATAGAAATGGGTTAACTTAAGAGATAAGAGTGAGCTAGAAATATGCATAAGCTAATAGGCCAAGCAGCATTGTAGATTTTTTTTTGTGTGGTTATTTCAGTTCTCGGCAGCTGGGAAGCTGGGGACAAACAAGCAGTCTCCTTACAACAAGCGTGCATGTGCAGGTTAGAGGTCAAAATAAAGGGTCCTGCTTTATCACTCGCCGTCTTACCTCAAGACAGGATTTCACTGCACCTGAACCCTACAGATCAGGCAGACTGGCCCACAGGTCTCTGCAGTCCTGCCTCCACATGCCAGCAATGGTTTAAACACTGCCAGCGCTGGCTTTTATGTAGGTGACAGGGATTCAAATGTGGGTCCTCATGCTTGAGTGGCAGGCACTTCACTCACCAAGCCATCGCCCCAATCCAAGAGACTTACAAAAAGGGCAAAACCTTGTTTCTCCTAAATGTCAGTTACAGGTCTTCCAGCCTCTCTGCTGAGTCATTTCTGCTAAACTTAGACCCTGCTTGCAGTAGAAAAAGACAACTTCTGAAACAGCATCACAGAACAAAAACTGTCCTTCCTCCCAACAAGGGCTTCACTATGAGTTCTGGCTTATGCCTTAGGGAACTGCAGTAGAGCCCTCACCTTAGACATGCAGACTAAGGCTGGGCTTGCACCTGAGCCCCTTGAACTGCATGAAATTAACCTTCAAAGCTTACGGTGCTGCCAGGAGATATGTTTCCCCCAATGTAGCCTGTTGCTATTTTTTAAATTATTTTTTTTTAGTTATGCATGTGTCTGTGTGGGTGCAGGAGTGTGGTGTGTCTTGGGTCAGTCTGACTCCACACAGAGGCGCTAATGGAAGGACAAAAGAAACTTCAGTTGTCCTTCAGTTGTCCAAGAGTGGAACTGGCAAGGCCAGTCTGATGTCAGAGTCGAGCTCGTGGCTTCTGGACATCTAATTTCTTCTCCCTGGGTTGTGTTTATCAGTCTTAATGCAGTTGTTTCTGAAGCATCCCATGCCTTCTTTGCCAATATGATCTGACTTGACTTTCTGCTGACGTCAGCTGTTCCCATCCCCACTCTGCAAACGGTGCATATGATGCTGTACTTAATAACCATGCCTGGCTCTGCAAACGGTGCATATGATGCTGTACTTAATAACCATGCCTGGCTCTGCAAACGGTGCATATGATGCTGTACTTAATAACCATGCCTGGCTCTGCAAACGGTGCATATGATACTGTACTTAATAACCATGCCTGGCTCAAGTCATAAGCTTATGCTGAGACTTCCTAGCTATGGCTATTGTTTTTGTCTTTTCTCATCCCACCCTCCCATTCAACACCTCACTGTTGGGGGACCCTTCTTCCTGTAGGTCTGGGTACTGGAAACCAGACTTGGGTCCTCTGGTGGAACAATTTGCATCATCTTTCCAGCCCAGGCAGCTGCTCTAGAGCATCCTTATGACACACTGTCCTATCTGAGACTCCCCACCACAGTACTCACCAAACGTCCCCAAGCTGGTGCCTGTGCTGTCCCACCCTCCCCTGAGACCCATACCACCCTAATCCAGGCCATCATCCTTTGACCCCAGAGCAACTGCCTCACTAAATTTTCTTGTCTCCATTTTTCTTTAGGTTAGCAAATAAAAGAATGGGGTTTCGTATGACATCTTCACGCATGTTACATGAAGTGCTATTGCACTTTGCTGTCTTGCTCCCATTGCCCTGGCCTCTGCCTTCTGTACTCCCCCTTCCTCACTCCAAAAGGGTTCCCTTCTGCTTTCATGTCTTCTAAATATATGTGATATGGAGCCAAGTCATGGAACCAACTTACACATCCATGAGCAGATACATGGGTAAAGAACTCTGGTTCATATAACACTTGAGAGCAGAGGAGGGCAGTGTATGAGGAGCTGGTAGGAAAGGGTGAGAAGAATAAAAGCATGTTTCAAGATCAAAGTTCATCACTCCATACAGTGAATGTGCGCATGTGCACACATGTGTGATGGTCATGATCGCATATGGTAGCAACATATAGGTGATATATATTGCATGCTGCATATATCACACTCTGCTCAATACTATTGGCTCACAGTGCAATCGGATTTGTCCCAGCACATAAAATGTGATTCCAGGTGGTTTCCGCCCCATACAGTTCCTGCCTTACTAGCTTTGTTGGTGACAAAACCTGTCAGACACATCCTGAGTCCCATGTTTCTCCCTCATCTGCCCAGCTCAGTCCTTTCTGCTTTTCTGAGACACTCTGTGACCTCTTCAGTAAATGGCCATTCCTCCACAGATGGAGCAGAATGTATTAATACATGTTTCAGGCACCTAAAGATAACGTAGAAATCAATCTAATATGAGCATCTTCACGATTTAAATATTTAGAGAGAAAAATCCCTTACCTCCCAGTAGTAGTCTTTGAATGAGATCATGCTGCCATCAGATTTTTTAAACGTATCATCAGGATGCTTATCCCAGCTGATATCATCAATTCTGTAGGTTTTGTTGTTGTACCTGTGGTGGAGGTAAGAGTCAAGCTCTGGCCATTCATGGTACACAGCCATGCCTGACCATTCATGGTACACAGCCATGCCTGACCATTCATGGTACACAGCCATGCCTGGCCATTCATGGTACACAGCCATGCCAGGAAGAAAGTACTGCAAATTCTGACACACTGTGCAAGTTCATCCATGCCAGGGGTCTTGTCGATATTATTTTTTAGAATACACTGGATTGACCATTTGATCATCAACCAGGTTTTACATTTCATCTATCAAGAAAGAATACCAAAATGCTAAGTGGCTCTCTCTCACCTGGCCGAATCTCCCGGTCCTACCCAAGGCGGGCACCGAGTGCTCTTGTCTCTCCACACTCCGACCTGGCCACACATTTCATAGAAATCATAGAGCACTCAAATTGTTTCCTCCAGTCATAAGCATGTCATACGTTCCTATTTCTAAGTAATATTCCATTGCATGAACATAAAATGCCTCATCTACTGACAAAATGGTAGACATCAAGTCTGCTCAGCTTCAGACTGTGATGGAATTTATGTTCATCTTAGTGGACACGAGCTCTCACTTCCCTTTGGAAATACCTATATAACTGAGTGGGTTTCCTATACAGGTTATACGGGAAATACCTCTATAACTGAGTGGTTTCCTATACAGGTTATACGGGAAATACCTCTATAACTGAGTGGTTTCCTATACAGGTTATACGGGAAATACCTATATAACTGAGTGGTTTCCTATACAGGTTATACGGGAAATACCTGTATTACTGAGTGGGTTTCCTATACAGGTTATACGGGAAATACCTATATAAC